TAGTTGGCACTTGGTAAGTGTCAGCTAGCATTATTATTTGTACTGTAGTCAGCATGACTGTGATAGTAATGTGTTCTGTTGCTGCTGGTGGTGGTGATGGTGATGGTGTGTGTGTGTCTGTGTGTCTGTGTGTGTGCCTGTGTGTGAAGAATCAGTGTGTATAGTATTCATGTTTGGTTTATCTCCTATACCTCACACTAATCACCATTTCAAATGTGGAAACCAAAATTCAGATGAGTAACAACACCTGCCTCTTATTGTTAACCTGATAAGAATAAACCTGGGAATGAGAGTTGAGTCAGCTTCACCAAATGCCTGGATGAGCTTCCTTGGCCCTATCTTGGTGCTCTTTGTATGATTCTTCAGCTTTTTGTGACACAGGGTGACTACCTGGTGGCTTTCTGACATGCCTCCCTTTTACCACCCAGCTAACTCTTTCTTCATCACTGATTGTTAGAGCACATGACACATGATCACAACCCAGGAAGTGTTGGATATCTGTATGAAATCCCTGTAGCTCTGTCAAAGAGCTGCAGTGTATATAAAGTGTCCTTTTATTGCATTTCTCTTTTTAAAAATATTTCCTTCTTTAAATTTTTGAGACAGGGTTTCACTATGCTTCCCAGACTCTCCTCAACCTTTCAGTCTTCCTGTTTCAGCCTCTTGAATAGCTAGGATTGCAAGCATGCACCATGGCATCTAGCTGAGCATCCTTCCTCCCGACTGCCCTGGAGGCCCTGAGGGAGGGTAATCTGGTGAGGTCTTGTTTATATCCCATTCAGCCTCTCTGTTTAGGACCCAAACAGTGAAAAATCAGTTACTAAAGGAACTGTTGAACTTTCAAGTGCTATTTTTCAAGAGGTTCTACAAATCCCCCAGTGTGACCAAGCATAAATGATGCTGTGTCCTTAGGAGACCATCCCCAGTGAGAAATTTTATCAGCCCAAAACAAAAATAAAAGGCAAGCAAAAAGTTTCTTTGGAGTACTCTGTCCATGTATATGTCATGTTTTCATAAAAATATCAATAAATAACTCTTTTGCCAATGCTAATTTATTTTTATGTCTGGAAAGGTAGCAGCAGAGACAGAAGATTATATTTTTCTCATTTTGATACAACTGGCAGACTTTGAAATGTGTTTGTAATGGGTCTACTACAGAAATCTCTGCCCAAGAACCCCAGCCTGGGTTGACAGAATGCTATTTCTTTTCAAAGCTTAAGTGTTCAGGGCAAAGAAGAAGAAAAAATGGCCTTGTTTTCTTGTTTTCCTTTGCAGACTCAATTCCATGAGCCTTGTTTTATGATGCCATTAGAAGCTGTCCACACTCTGGAAAGAGTGATTGTTCTTTGGATTTTTCCAGCATTCTGCTGCATGGAGTTTGGTGGGAGCTAACTCTGCACCATCATGCTGTAGTCATAACCACTGGGTTTTCTTTTAAAATATCAAGACTGTGCAGTCAGAAGGCCCAAGTGAGTCCCAAGGAAGGATGTGATTAAAGGGGCTGGCTTAGATAGTCTTTCAAAGCTGATTAGAAGGAAAAAAATTCATAAACACTATTTCTCACCTCCTACTCCCTGACAACTAACTGTAACACCAGCAATTGACAGTAAAATCAACAAAACCACTTCTCTGGTCCCCCTAAATGCCCTGTGATTCCCTCAGGTTTGGCACTATAGTAAAACTGAAAGAGATCAGTATACTTTACTTCAAGCTCTTGGCATACAACCTTTGCTCTTTGGCAGGCTTTCACATGGCCTAGGGATCACTCTCAAACCATGAATTAATCTCCCTTGGCCCATCTTGCACTCCCTAGAAGGACCATAGTCCAAGGGAGCGGTACGTATTTTATGAACATCTACAGACCTTTTCAGGTTCACATTTGCCTGTGGTGATTTCCATGGGAAGGAGAAATACCAGTGGCCCTAAGTCAGCCAGCTCAATTTGGCAAGCTCTTCTCTACCCATCAGACCCTCAGCTCACGTGTTTCCTGTTCTTAGATGCCACCTCAGTTCTTCCAGGACCTATTCATACCTAATACACTTGCATTACAGAATCTACATTGAATTCCCTTTCAACTATGAGCCCAAGAATCCTCTGTCCAGGATTCTTCTACTGCAAACATTATGCTATGTTTGTGGTGATGTTTTCTAAGGGATGGTGGCCTAGCAGAGGAGTCACCCTTGCATTTTCCTGGCCTTCTGTGTAAAGTTTCCTAATGGAATGTAAGAATGAGAATGATCAAGGCTACTCTGATTACGTTGTAGAGAAAGACCTTTGGGATTCTCTTTTATTGACTCATCACCAGCTGCCTTCAAGGCCATAAGCATCTCATTGAATTTCAGAAGCATCTGCCCTGCCTCTTCTCTGACATTGATCTACAGTGTGTGCAGATACCACCATGCAGCAACAGAGCCCAGATTCAGAGAAGAAAATAATGCTACTCAGGGCTTCCACAAGAACTGGTACTCTGAGCTGCCGAATAGGTCTCAGAGCTCTACCCTCATTTAGGTGCAAAAGCAGAACCTCAGTATTCTTTCAGAACTTATCATCTCGTCAGCTCCTCACAGCTGAGGCCCATCTGCCTTGATTGAACATGGATATTTCACCAAGCTCACTCCACTCACTCACCTCATGAATACTGAGTGCTTATTATGTGGAGACATTATGCTAGACTCCAAGAATTCAACAGGGGTCTCAAAACCAGGTATGGTCCTGATTCATGGTCAAGAAGAAAAGTGAACTTTAAACAAATACATTTCACAATTGTTTCATTAATTGTAAGTATAAGTGTCTTGGTCTCCTCGGACTACTGTAACAAAATACCTTACATGACTGATAAATTTTCTTCTCACAGTCTTGAAGGCAGCAAGAACAAACTCAAGACACCAGCCGACCTGGTGTCTGATGATGGTCCACTTCTCAGTGTGTTAGCACTGTCTGCTCACTGTGGCCTTATGAGGTGGAAAGAGCCAATAAACTCTCTGGCACCTCCTTTAAGGGCACTAATCCCGTTCCGGAGGGCTGAACCACTTTTCAAAGACCTCATATCCAATAGCATTACATTGGGAATGAAGTTTGGGAGGAATTCAAACATCATAACACTTACTGCACCATTCAGTCCACTGCATTGTGTTACCAAGAAGGGCAGTTACGTATCAGAAGCAAGTACAATAACAGGACAGGATGTAGGCAAGTAATGTGTTGAAATCAAGACAGGAAAAGTGGTAGCGAGGAGGAGAGTGATGCACAGAGAAAGGGGAATCACTCTTAGGACAGTTTTCACATATGCAGAAGCCTGGGCATAGCCTGAGGCTTCCCTAGGTGCTGTGTAAAAAGACCCGCATATGCATTTGGGAGAGATTGTGCGGCACCAAGGCAGAAAAAGTCTTCTAGCCAACCAGTTGCCAGGGGGGTAATTGAAAGGCAAATGAGAGCTTCCCAAGGAATAACTTGGCTTTGTGGGATTATAAAACCAAGTCAAATCCCAGCTCCTTTCCATCACTTGAGACAGCGTCTTCTCCGCTTTTCTCTCCTTCTTTTTCTTCTTCCCTCTTGCCTGCCACTCTCTTCTTCCTCCTTCCTTCTCTATATCTTACTTCTCTCTCTTCTCAGTTAAGTCTCTTATTCTGCTTTGAATTGATGCAGTAGAGCTGCCAGCCCTCCTCTACCAACCAATTTCAATCTTTGTGTTTTCAGAGAAGTTCAGTTACTGAGGAGAGTGAACCTGATTGAAGGCTGGCCATTTAACAGAATGAGTTGATTGCTTAAAATCAGATGCCACCAGCAATAGGGGTTGCAGATGTAAGCAAAGCAATACAGCATATTCCCACCCATAACAACTGGTTCACAGTGTACCCATAAATCAGACTTTGGGTAGGAATCCTAGGACTGACAGTTCTCCGTCTTTTAAGGACATCACAAGGGGAAATACTCATTTCTCCTGTTGATAATAGAATAGGATATTGTAGGACATAGATTTTAAGCAACATTTTTGTGACATTAATAGAGAGCCTGGAACCAATCCAGAGGAGCCAGAACCAAGATCTTAAAGAAAAATTCATTGGTGGTAACATCCTGTGAGCTGTGATTCTAGCTTTGCATGAAGCTGAGTCTGTCCAAGACATTTCCAAGTCCATCAACATCTTTATGTTGTTTGGGCCAGTTTGAATTGGATTTTTAGACAAGCAGATTTGGCTTACCCCTCACTCCACTGATTATAGAGAGGGGCTTGGGGAAACACTTTCCTGCTCCACCTGGAAAATGATTCTTTAATAATTTGATCAATCCGAAGTACATTCCTGGTACCATGATGATTAAGAGGTTTAGCCAACAGATAGCATGGCTTGAACACATGGCCTGCACAGCTGAATTCATAAGGAAGGGAGGCAAAAATAGAGGTCAGTTCTAATAATAAATTGTTCTATCTTCTTTTCTAAAGAATTTTAATCACATTTATCACTTCATTAATTTTTTCAATTTTCTTACAAACAGAAAGTATCTTCTTAGAAATAGCCACAGGCTATTTGAAACATCTCAAATGAACTCCTTTTGAATTATTCATTTGAGAAAATCTCAATAGATGTCCAGAAATAGGGTGCCTTTCTGTTTCTATTATTTAAAAACCACTTGACTGCATTTTGCTAAAAAGAAAAGCTCTTTAACCCACATTCAGATTTGAAAAATATCACCTTCTTTTCCTTTCCACAAGTCAATTTGCTGGAGAAAACTGGGAGTGAAAATACAACTATGATAAAGCATTTGCCTCTTTCCTAGTGTACATTTATGTATTTGTGTCTTGCCTCTTAGAAATTGTAAGTAACCAGAAACCAGAGACATTTTTAGATGAATAACTCGCCTGAACATTTTCTGGCACAATTTCATAATATCTGGGCAAATCTCATTAGTGGGAAATGTGGTCATAACTCTGGGCTCTGATGCAAAAACTTACTATGTAAAGCAACTCTCTATTTAGTTCTGTGTTTACTCCTTTCCTTCCCAAGGAACGGAAATTTCCCAAGTTTGTATCCAAGGAAATGGAAAACATGTACATCGAGGAGCTGAAGTCCTCTGTCAACCTGCTCATGGCCAACTTGGAGAGCATGCCTGTATCCAAAGGCGGAGAGTTCAAGCTGCAGAAACTGAAACGCAGCCATAATGCCTCCATCATTGACATGGGAGAGGAGAGTGAGAACCAGCTCTCCAAGTCAGACGTTGTGCTGTCTTTCTCTTTGGAGGTAAAAAGCCCCTAAAACCCTTGAAAGTTTCCAGGCACAGCAAACAGGATAGGAATGATTAGATGCATTTCAATCAGCCTACTTCCCCACTTTTGCACCCTTTGAACAGTTCCTAAAATAACAGCTTGCTACACATAGGTCAGCTAATCAGCAAGTGATTCCTTCTCTGCAAGAGCCCGCATTTTCCTTTTCCTAAGGAAATGCAGTCTTAAGAACCACCTGCTGAATGCAATCTTGGGTTGCTTTCCCTGTCTTAAAGTATTGCTCAATGTTTTGTAAAGACCTTATGCAATTACGAAAGCTTCTAACTTTGACAACCTGTGTTACAGTTAGCAAACAGGTGATCTAATGTCATCTTGTGGTACATTGTAAATTTTCTTTCCCATCATCTTTCCTGTTGGCTACACTGAAGAGTTCCTTGTGGTAGTTCCTATTTGAATTTATCTCTTCACTGAGAGCAAGAAGACATTCAGGCCAGAACTACAGGAGAATATTGAACATACCCACACATTTCCGTATAATTTCCTATCATACATTTGCTTTCCATGTATGAATGTTAAGAAAAGTTTCTAATTTACCTACCTCCAAATTACATGGGAAGTTGGTTCAGTAAGATTTCTGGGCACCACCCAGACACTTTAGGTGATGAGGGCAGAAGATAGTGCAACACTTTGGAAAGTAAGTTAATATTTTCTCAAAGAATTAAACATGAAAGGACCAGGTGATCCAGTAATCCCACTCTTAGATCTCTACTCCATAGGCAAGAAAACCCATGTCTCCACAGAGACTTGGCTGCAAATATTCATAACAGCCTTGTTCATAATACCTAAAAACAGTAACAACCTATATGTCCATCAACTGGTAAATGGACAGGCCAAATGTGACCTATCTAGAGAGTAGAATGTGATTTAGCAAATAAAAGGGGCAACTGTGGATGCCTGCTGTAGCATGGATGAACCTCAAAACTGTTGTCTTAGTACAAGAAGCTAGGCAAAAACACTAAATTCCTGAAGGCAAACCTAGAGGAACAGAAAAGAGATTGCCTGGAGCTGGGGATGGGAGAGAGATATGAGTCTTACTGGAGGAGATAAAAATTCCTAAAACCAAGCAAAAGAAATTTCTAAAACCACTTTATGATCATGATCATACAATTTGGTAAACTTACTAAAATCACTGAATTATATACCTAAAATGGATTAATTATAAGATATGGGAGGCACCTCTTTAAAAAGCTGTCAAAAAACCTGAGTACTTCTCACGTACTCCAGAGATTGAGGGCCAATTAAACTTACTGAAGTTCAAAACACTGCAGAATTTTTAAACCTTCTTTTTAAACTCATACATACTTAGGCTATTATGTGAAGTTTCAGTAGATATATACAGTACATTATGCAGTGTTCAAATCACAGTTAACCTATGCCCTCAAACAAAATTTATTATTTCTTCATTGTGAAAACATTCAAAATACTTTTTTCTAGTTTTTTAAAAATATATAATACAATCCCACAAATATTTTATAATGATCATAGTTTTGGAGAAACCGAGAGTATAGATCATCTTCTATACATTTAATTAGACTATGTAAAGACTAAATTAATTTACTAGAACATCATTAAGGATCATTGCAAATTAACTGCAGGTAATGTGTTTATCTGTGCTCAGTTCAGATGCAAATACTTACATTGCACTATTTCAACATGTGTTATGCGTAGGAAGAGGCAGTGTTTAATTAAATATAGAGCACTTGGTGTGCGAAAAATCATTAGTGTAATTTCACAGAAACTTTCCTTTTTTAGAAAATACTGCCACTGAGATATTGAATGCTTTTTCTTAGGTGTCTTTGAATATTATTAGTGCCAATTAAAGGTGGCAATTTATTCCCTACTCCCTCTTGTCTTCCTACAGAAATGAGAAAAAGATAGTTTATTTACTTTTATTGAGCTATTAAGTCTGTAATTTTCAAATTCTTTATCAGTACTCAATGTCATATTGCTGATTATTTGAAATACATATGTGGGCAAGACATCAACCATGTTCCCATAGGTACTTTATTTATACAGCTTTGATTTGCAATTATAAGTTCAGAGTGAGATACCCCAGAACTCCCAAATGCTTTTTCATTGGAACACTGAATTGCACCTCATCTTAAAACTTCCAGAAAAAATTCTAGCACCTCTATTTCTGAATGTGCCTTGAGAACATAATAAGGGGTGATAAGGGGAGGAAGAGCACGTGCCTGTTGCCTCATCAGGACAGACTAGGGTCTGAATTCTAAGTTTGGTGCTGGCCACATTTTATGTTAGCATAGATGTGCATGGCTAGAGGGGACACCAAAGAACAAGCGACCTCACAGCAAGGAGTCAGAGCTCCCAGATGCCCAGTGGCCCTGCACTGGCCAAAGAGAATGTGTTGATGAGATCAGAGGTGCTGTAACTCTATGGACCCTCACCACAGACCTTAGGTATTTTCAGGTGTGGAAACAAAGTTCAAGAGAGATTGATATGCTCACAAAGGATTAGACAGTAAAGATTTAGAATCAGGTTTTGAATTAAGCTCTTTAAAATGCCCCAAATAGGCACCTTTTCCAGTGGCCTTCCATTTCTTTCCATATAGATGGTTCTTCTCCAGTATAAACTGTTACAATTTTGTACATCATCTCTTTGGGTCCTTCCATGATAGCCACAAAATGTATGTCATTACCCTCCTCACCACACACACACACACACACACACATTTTACAAATGAGAAAACTGAGGCTTTGAAGGTTGGAAAGATAAACAAAGTGACTTCAACGCTAAGTCATTTGCCCAACATCATGAGTAGACTCAAAATGTGACTCTTGGGCCAGCAGCATGAGCATCAATGGGAAACTACTGAAGATGGGAAGTCCTGGAATCCACCCAGTCTGCTGGTCAGACTCTGGCCATGGAGCACAGAAGTCTGAGTGAAGAAGTCCTATAAGTAATTCCAGTTCATGCAGTTTGAGAACCAGTGGGCTCCACAGCAAAGCTGTGACTTGTATACCTCTATTATACTTCCTGGATCCGAACCCAGTAAGACAGTGCATGTTCTTCACATACCTACATTGTTATCCTTTTGACACTGTTACAGTGTGCAGATCCCATCTTCATGCTAGACTGATCCTGGCAAGACTAGTAGAAAGCTGGTGGAAGCCCTCAGATATCTCTTATCCTTCTTCATGACTTCTCATCTGTTTATTTTCCTCTGAGTGATGCTGCCCACCACTATTGGGCCTGGTCTCCATTTAATGTGTTTCTATTTTGTTCAGGTGGTGATCATGGAGGTCCAAGGTCTTAAATCCTTGGCCCCAAATCGCATCGTGTATTGCACAATGGAGGTGGAAGGAGGAGAGAAACTGCAAACAGACCAGGCTGAGGCTTCCAAGCCAACGTAAGTGCTTCTCTGCAGACTATCTAGCGGGGATGTCACCATCAGTTGTGCCTTAGTCATTTCCAACAAAAAGTTTGGTTTCCCCGAAAGGCAGGGGTAGGGGGCATACACTGTGTGTTTGTCAAACAAGATGATTTGGTTACATCTTGACCTGGCAGCCATACAAGGGCTCTAGTACCTTCAAAGAAGAGGACATAGAAGCAATAATATCCTTTCTAGAGGCAGGACAGCTTGTTAAAAATTTTTGGTATTATATTTTCCCAAGTAAGACTTGGGTAACAATAAAAGAGAATATTTTTTGTTTCCCACTGCATTTATTAGCAAAGCAGTATATTACACTGAAGACAGTGCATTTGTTCCTTTGGTCAACACAGTTTCAAGGATTCCCCTGGGTGTGTGCCAAAGTATGTGTGGCACAGTAGACTCAGAAATATTCACTACCCTGTCCTACAGAGCTTTTAACTCAGTTTCAGTTCAGTTCATATCCTCTGTTAGTGGTCACATCAGAAAAATACTCCCACAATTATCTAATTATGAATACAGTTAAAACTACATGTCTGAGGGTTCCATATCTCAGAACCAACCAACTACAGTAGTAACATTGATCTAATATTATAAAATTTGAGGAATGGGGTGTGGTGGAGTGACGAGCTTACACAAAGTCCCTATAATCAGCTGTGGCCCTATGGCAAGAAGGATTCAAAGGCCAGTAGTAGCAAAACTGGAGAACAAGGAGTTCCCTAGGCTGCCATCAAGGCAGACAGAGGCCAATCCAGAGGGCTGAGTTGGGGCACAGAGGACACCACACAGAGAGACACGGTTGGACATGTGTTTAGTAAAGCTTATTCTGGCTGCAGGTGAAGGGGTCAGAGCTGATTCAGGATCCCGGGGCAGTGGTCAGTGGGAGCATTGAAGGAGTCAATACACTCGCAGACCTCCAAGATTCATGAAAGATCGCTGCTGTCTTCCCTCCTTACCCACTGCCTCTGACCCTTCGTCTGCCATCTCTGTTGAGCCAGCCCAGACTAATGAGCATCTTTTTTGTTGGTGTTAATTCATAAGAGAGACATCAAAAGGGGAACCACTCAGCACCTCGCCTCCCCCAGTGCATTAAGAGCTGTTTGGCAGAACATGAATAACTCACCAAGATGTTCAAACAGAATAGTTCAAAGAAAGCACTGAATGTCTCCAGAACTAGACAAGAGCTGAGGGCATTGTGTGCCTTCAAGTGGCTTCTTTGCATCAGTAGGCAAAGCCTCCAAAACTCAGGAGCTGAGCAAAATTAATGAGTGTGTGCGGAAGGAAATGTGAAGCCCTCCTTCCTCTTTTCAAACTCGGTTCACACTCACGATGAATGCAGTTTCTTTTTTTACTGCCAGCGATGAAATTCCAATTTTTACTCAAATGGCCTGATCATTATCAATGTTGTTATGTTAAGCTGCACTATTTATATGTGCTTTTAAAATCATGTGATGCGTAGGGGGAAGCAAACCCTACTTAGTGTTTCTGCCAGCAGAATAGAAGTGTGGGTCCAGGATGGTGTCATAAGATAGAAAACGAAGGCAAAAGCTCTGGTTATCCTAACAGATTCTTCTTTCATGTGGAGTATTTGACTCACAGTGTAACTCCTATCATCTCAAATGTAATGCCTTCAAGTCTTCAGGGTGAATGCTAAGTTGATTTTCCTGTGTTTGTGAATGTTTAAAACAGGGCTTCATATTACAAATAAATGCAGAATAACTGGTGTACCTTCTCAAAAGAGTTGTATTTCACAAGCACGTGTACTCATATCTATCCAAGTGCATTATGACCTTCACACATCCCACTGGAAATATTTTGCTGTTCTAGCCTGAGGCATACTTTTTTTATTGCTCTTCCATTGGTGTGTATTACTAAAACCTCACAGGGGAGTTGTTGATCTGTTTATGATTGCAAGTTTCATGACCAGGATCAAGTGGCATCCGTTGGTGTCAGGCATCAAGGAAGATCCATTTAGAAGGCTTTTGAGGTCAGATCTGTATGCAGAGGATGTGATCAACTTGTAATGTCTGGGAGAGGAAAGGATCCACGTGTCCCTATGAAACCAGAATCTAAACTCTAACAACAGTTGTGTTTCTTTCTCTCCTTCTTCATCCTTTCAGTGTAGAATCTTCTCATAAACCTTCTTTGTCTTCCTTGAAAATGCACGATGCTTTTCCTAACACTCCTCCCGTGTCGTTGGTCAGACTCCAGTTCTGGCAGGGGCATTTGCCTCTACTTTCACTTGGTAGAATAAACCATCCTGTGAAATATAGGTCCATTTTATTCCTGCCTTTCCTTAGAATCCTCTCCATCATTTCTTCTGTTTGAAACTTTTATTCTTTCTCCTTTTTCTTCTCCACCCACCCGTCTCCCATGCCTAATTGCTCGCTGTCATCTCTGCTATTTGATTTTGATTATCCCAGAAAGTATGCTTTTGAGGGTTATCTTTCACTGTACCAGTAACTCCCCTCATCATCTATTAAGGTTCCCTTTTCCTGTCCTCTTCAACTTTTGAATCTTGTTTGTGACAGTTCTCATAGCCAGCCGACACCTAGACTTTATTTTTATGTTCTGAAGCCAAAATTCCATCCATTTGCTTTGTCTCTTACTCATAAATTCTACGGTTCCTGCTGCTAAGTATTACTCAGTCACTGCTGCCATCACATTGAGCCTGTCATGGATCTTCAAGGAATATGTGACTTTGTTTCTCTTTTACAAGTATAGCCACAGATCCAGATGTACATTCTATAACCCAGTTTGTCTAAGCGTATGTTCTTCAGAACTCTAATATACAGAGCATGAGTGGTGAATCTATGGCATGTGTGCCATAGTAAGCTGTTTGTTATCATTGAAAGTTCCAGATGGTTTGCCATCACTGGTATAGAACTGAAGCATGATAAAGCATGATGGATGCTGAAATTAAGACAACCACCATTAATCCCCACTGAGTCCTCACCATCACCTCAAACACAGCGACCCCATCCATCTTGCCACTTGCTAAAGCCTCTCTGAAGTCCACTTTAGTGAGTATCTTTAGTTGCTATGTCACAGCTGCCTTGATATCTTGAATCAATTTAAACATCTATTTTCATGGTCATTTTTGCTTTGGGGAAGAGCTAGAAGGCCCACAGTGTCAAGCCCTGGTGAGTAAGGTGGACAAGGACAGACCATAATGTTTTTATCTGACAACATTTTAATTTGTTCAGGAGGGTGAGTACTCCTGAAGAGACCCCCGGAAAAGCAGGCTCCCCAACTGCTTCAGAAAACAGCAGCAACAATGTGACGGTTGTGTTCAAAGCAAGAAGAAGCATTTTGAGAAAGATTAACAGCGATTTGGTTTTTGCCATAATAAATTTCTTTATGTCAGCAATCATTGTATTTTTTAATCATGTCATATACTTAAAAAAAACAGCTATATGTGGAAAAAGGGGAGTTCTTCTGCACTGCTGGTAGGAGTGCAAACTGGTGCAACCACTGTGGAAATTAGTCTGGAGGGTCCTCAAAGACTTGGGATTGGAAGTCTCATTTAACCCAGCTATTCCACTTCTGGGCATATTTCCAGAAGAACTGAAAGCATCATACCACAGTGATATATGTGCACCCATGTTTATAGCAGCACAATTTGTAATAGCCAGATCTTGGAAACAACCCAAATGCCCATCAACTGAGGAATGGATAAAAAAGATGTATTTTATACAATGGAGTACTACTATTCAGCTATAAAGAAAGATCCTATCTAGGCTTTTATCAGTAAATGGGTGTGATTTGAGACCATACTCCTAAATGAAATAAATCAAACTCACATGTGTAAATACCAAATTATCACCCTAGTGTAAGAAACTGAAAGAGTAAATAAGATACAAAATCTTCAATAAATATTGTGAAAGGGTAAGAAACTACTCAAAGAGGAAAAAATAACTCAAATAGGGAAAAGGAAAAAAGAAGGAAGAGAAAATAAAAAAGATATAAATTTGTATATGTACACTTAAGATTACTAAGATGATTGTACTGCTAATTCTATTAGTTCTTGAAACAAAACAATTAAGGTCGATAGGACTAGATCAGTTTTGCATGACTATATCTGGTAAGGTTTTTCAAGATAACGATGCAAAACAACAAAATTAGTTATGTTCCTACCATCTCACTTTGAAAGCCTATGTTGTTATTGTTTTGGGCTCTTTGTTATAGTTATTTGACTCTTGCTTATTTTTCTTACATTTTGTTTTGTTTTGTTTTTCCGTCTAATACAGAAAGGATAAAATACTTGAATTAGGCTTATATATGCCTAGAACTTCACCTAAAGAGTTTACAAGAATAGATTTTAGTATGGTATGAACAGACACAGTGAAGAAAATGAGACATTGTGGTAGCCGTTGCTAATTTCCTGTCATTTTGTTTTGAAATCTAGTAGTGATTTTATTCTCAGCTTTGATTGGTTTTGCTCTGTTTTCAATTATTTGATTTCAGTATGCATGAAGGTATTGACAGCTTTTGAAGGAAACAAGAGACAATACGGTAGCCATTACTGATTTCCTATTGTCTGGTTTTAAAGGCCTATAAGGCTCTCACTATTTTTTTTATATACTATTTTGTTTTATATTAACTTATTGTGTGTGAAGATATGGACAACTATTTTGAGAAAACAAGAAACATTATGATAGCCACTGTTGATTTCCTATTGTCTTGTTTTGAAGGCCTATGTTATTTGCATTGTTTTGCTCTGATCTGCTTTGTTTTACTTTATTTTGTTTTATTCTCTTTAAAAGAAAAAAAAACAGCTATAGAGTAGTACCATGGTAATGTAAGTTTAGGATGTGTAAGACATTACATCTCTCTCTGAGTTATTCACAAGGTATACCGCATTTTAAAAGCTTTGAAACTTCCAACAGTAAATCAATGTTTAGCTTCATTTAAAATTAAACAATTTCCTCTAATTTATCTTAACTGATGCCTACTAACATCCTTTGGAAAGTCCTGTT